AGGGTAGAAACCATAAAACTGTGGGTTGTAATCCATTTTGGGCGCGAATATGGTGTCAGTCCAGTCATTTTCTCTAAGTCCAAATACCTCACCAGTGGTGGATTCAAGTAATTTAACAACCGGTTCTCTGCCCTAATGACCTGCTGGGTAGGCGGGGTTCGTTAGTCATGTGACTGGGTGGGAGTGGCCAACTCAACGTCATTCACGTCAATGGGTGCTTCGCCTTAGCTGTTACAATGTAATAAGGGTTAACCGGAGAGGCAGTTTCTGTAAGCAGGGCAATAAAGATTAGGCTAGAAACAACACCAGAATGTTTCCTTCCTGCCTTCCTTACAGGATTAGCCCTGTAAAGTAGAAAAAAACAAAATGAGATTTCTTTCAACAACCGGTTCTCTGATCTGCTTAGAAAGTTAATAACCGGTTCTCCCGGATAGGTGTGGGCTGGCTGAATCCCACCACTGAACCAGATCTTGAGGGACTTATAGAACATTGGAAGGAATGAAGCTAATCTTGTTTCCAAGGGGAGAAGATTCCATAAGTCAGGCACGTGGAACAGAAGGCCCACCTCCCAGTCTCACCAGATTTTATTCCCTGGCATAGCCTGGCTTCTTTGCCATACCCAGTAGGGTGAGCAGATGTAATGAAGAGAGGCATCCCCTCAGGTAACAAGGTCTCTGCCATGAAGGACTTTAATGGTCAAAAGTAGCTGGACCTGAAAGCAATCTGGCAACTAATGTGAAGCAGAGGTATAACCTGCCTTGCTCCACAGCATTTTGCCCCGTTGAAGCATCCAGATACTGTTCTAGGGCAGCCCCATAAAGAGCATGCTACGAAATCGAACCAAATAGTGACTAAGGCACGAGTGACTATGAGTGTAGCTCCCCCATCCCCCTTCAAATCTAGACAAAGGCATAACTGGCGTACAATAACAAACACCCTTGCACAGACTACCATGACTGCCACCTGCTCTTTGAGCAGGAATCGTGAGTTCAGGAGAGTCCCCAGATTACACACAATGTATAACTGAAATATTCCCAGAGTCCTTGCTCTCTATATAACCTGTGTGATAAGAGTTATACAGTTTTGCAAGATCTGTCTTCCTGCCATAACATTTTTCAAAAGATGCACAATATTATACAAACAAGCTTAACAACTCAAGTAGCAGCTTGGGCATAGCTAATTTCATCAACTCTTTCATCTACCCTTTTTTCTGATACTCTGTTTCTTTTGTACTTGCGTGGAAATAATTGATTGCTGCTATCTTGTTTTTGCTTTTAATCTGCAAACCTGAGTACAGGTCCTGTGATTTTTTGTTTTGTTTTGTGTACAACGCCTAGTTACTGTAGGCACTTGAGAAATAAAAATTAAAAATTGCATGGCATTTATTACATAGGAGGGGTGGTGTTCTGTGTTCTATCTTGGAAATGGCACTGTGGGAAAGATCATAAAGAAACAAATGCATTCTTGGCAACTGTTTCTCCATCTCTACAAAGTCTATATCGTGTTTGAAAAGAAAAAAAAATTGTCTGAAGGTGCAGAAGAATGCAGTTGCTTTCTGTGCTTGCTACATGTATATATGTAGCCACCTTTACATTCAACTAAATAAGTTAAGCTCCTTAGTGCAAAAATTAATCTCACCTTGCTTTTTTCTTCCAATTTATATGCATAATTATATGCGCAGAAGGCCAAATGAGACTAAATGGTTGGCCAAGGGTTTTCTTAATTAACCTTGTGGCGGAATGAAATTTTATACTTAAAGAAAGCACTTTTTTGTGGCATATCACTTGTTTCTGTGCTCAAACTGCCCTTGATTCATTAGTGATTTTCATTAAGGAACATATTTTAAAAATTGCATTAAACAAATATTGAAGACAATGTTAATACAATAATTTTAAAAACTGAGTTTATTTTGATTTAAAATATTTTATTCATAATGTAAAACTATCATATTTCAAATATGATAAACTAAATCTTGACATTAATTATTTAACATATCCTAATTTGTTTGTTTCACTGTTCACAAAAGTTTTCAATTCCAATTTGTGGGAGTTTCAAACCTGTATATCTTTGCTATAGATCTATATGGCTATAACTTACAAACATAATTGGCTACAGGTTAGTGTATGAGCTCACCTATATATCATTCTTACTCTTTTTCACTATGAAAGCATAATGAAAATAGAAATGAGGATTACTTTGATAGTTATTCTATATCAGGAGTGCCAAAGTCAAGGCCCGTGGGCTGGATCTGGCCCGTGTGGTGCTTAAATCTGGCCTGCGCGGCTGGCCTGGAAATACCAAAGGACTGACCCATAGTATTTCTGGCAGCCAAAACAGGGTGTGGGGGAAGCACATGCCTCCCCGTGCCCCATTCCAGCCTGGACACCCTCCTGCAGCACTTTGCCGGCCAAAACGGGGCCCAGGGGGCCACGTGTGCCCCCACACACACACCATTTTGGCCAGCAAAATGCTACAGGGGGCATCCATCCCATCTCCCGCTCCTGGCCCACAGAGGAGAACTACAATGCTGATCTGGTCTTCGAAGAAATCCAGTTTGATACCCCTGTTCTATATGTTCCTTTGCTCTGAACATACAAACTTTGTCATTATTTCCAATAGTTTGCAAAGAATTTAATCCTGGCATGTCAGCTATATCAAACAATTCTTTCTTATATAAAGCATTAATGAATTTTAAAGTGGAATTACAATGAATGAAGGCAAATATATGTGTCCCACGATAATGTTGGGCCCGATGACCGACCCAGATTGGATCATGGAATTACATTATTTACAATGTGGAGAAAATAGGTGAATGTTTTTGTGACTGGAAGAGAACTATTCTGAAAATCTATTTTGTTTTTGTTTTTTTCTCGTGTTTGATTTCTCTGTTAAACGATATATTTTCTCCTTTAAAATTTATTCTGACCTTTTAAAATTTCTGTGTTGCCCAATACAGTGGTAATTTGGAAAATATTTATTTATTTGAAAGTGCTCACATCCTTGAGCAATTATTAAATATAATGATGCAGTAACATTCTGCTATCAGGAGTTGAGATACTCTATTAGAGATTATCAACATTTGATTCGTAGCGGGACATTTGATTATGAGGATATTTCTTTTCAAGTCCCAAAAGTGTTTTTTCAAATGACAACTGAACTTAGTTTTTTCTTGAAGATGTTTTGTTTCTCATCCAAGAAGCTTCTTCAGTTCAGTTCACTTGTGTATTTAGTTTTGAAGGTTAATGGAACAACTGGGAGTTTGTATTTTTAATATTTTA